TGTACATGGAAAAACAATAATAAAGGTAAGGATGGGGGGGAGGTACAAACTTTGAAAAATATTGTAATTAGTCGTGCTATATCCCGGATTCCTCGAGTAGGTTTAGGATGTTATGTTCAGGAGCACTCATTGATGGTAAGATTGTCCGTGTTGCCCGTGGTCTAGTCTCACCGATTTCGGGTTCTTTCATGACAGGCATATCTGGCATTTTTCGAAGACTCGACACTCGTTCCTTCCATATTCTTCCGTCCTAGTGGTCGAGGAGTTCAAAATCAGATCTCAATACATATCACAAACCAACAACTTCCACTAATAAGTTTGGAAAATCAACAACGAAGCCAACAACATCATAGTTCTTTGACTAGTTCAATCAAGATCAGCTTCATGGCTTTCAAACTTGATTTACGATCAAAGTTCGTTGATACGTATATCGAAATCTAGCATTCCAACACGTTCAATACAGATGATCGAGTGATTAGCATAACTCGAGACCATGTAGACTATAATCACTTATGAGTGTATGCAATGAGTTTGCTCTTTAATATAAAGGAACAAGGAACATCTTTACTTCATGATGCTTATCGTATTGGTCTTTTCTACGGTTCTAAATCTCATCTTTAAAATCATGAATAGACTTTCCAAAAGGAATATACGCCAAACGCTTATGCAGATAATTTTTTTGGCCTTTCTATTAGCCCGTGGACATATATACATCAATATATGCAACAAGGTAACTAGGTATGTGATAGCCCAAGCCTACCGCTAATGGATATTGTCTTTTTTGGGCTTTTCCTTCTACGCTTCACCTTAAGATTTTAAAACACGTTTGCTAGAGAGAGGTTTCCACATCCTTATAAGGAATGTTTCGTTCCCCTCTCCAACCGATGTGAGATCTCATAATCCACCTCTCTTGGGGGCCCAACGTCTGGCTCTGATACCATCTATAACAGCCCATGTTCACCATTAGCACAGAGTCCTCTTTGGGTTTCCCTTATGTGCTTCCCCTCAAGGTTTTAAAACACGTCTTCTAGGGAGAGGTCTCCACACCCTTATAAAAAATGCTTCGTTTCCCTCTCCAACCGACATGGGATCTCACAATATAATCAATCAAATAGGGATTAAGGCAAACAAAATTATATAAGAAGATCGAGTCTGCAGCTTACATTCAGAATAGACGGCTCAGGCAACGGGCACTGAATTGGCCTGTCGTTGTCGAGAGGCTCGATCGGGTGTTCAACAGGCTTGAACTCCACAGCCACTTCAATTCCATGAGAAGCAGCAGCAGCAGTGGTATCACTAACACCAGTAGTTTCTGGGATTGAAGGCAGTCCTTCTCTTCCATCCTGCATCAAAATTACCCTAAATATCCTACTAAATGTTCAACAAATCCACAAAAGTACAGAAAAACAATGACCCAGATGGTAATTTCCTGAGTAGAACAGGACAAGTAAAAGATCAAGGATGAAAAGATCTCAGAAACAGCCATGGAATCGATTCCTTTTAAAAAAAATAGACCAAAATCAGCACTAGATTCGAGTTTCATATGACCTAAGTCAAAGAATTCTACAAAAAAAATGGCGGGTACAGATTCCAATTCATTAAAAGTCAACCAATCTAGCAGCCATGAACAACCAAGAAATGGTACACTTCAAACGTTTAGACAAGAAACAGCACATCAAGAGAACAGAACAAGTTCAAATTCTTCAGAAACAGAAAGAACAATCAATCATCAAACCCATAGCTTCAATTCCTTAAAAGTCCCCCAAAAAAGCGACCAATTCATAGCAATATTCATATTCAAATAAAGAGAAGAATCAACTTACAAGTGCGCTTTGAGCTCGTCGATGCCCTGTTCTACTAGAAGAAAACCTTGAAAATATGCCCACCATCTGTTCGACAAAATGCCCAAAACAAAAATTACTCACAAAAACAAAATAGGTATTGAAATCTCTCTCTCAGAGTCTCTAATTCCCTTTAAAATAGTGCAGCAGCAGAGGCCATGGACAAACACAAAGAGTCCAAAAATTTTCAAACCCAGTAAGGATCGGATCACGACCAATCCAACAGAGAAACAGGAGTCGCTTTCTCTCTCTTCAATTCAAGAGAGAGAACAAGAAGATGAACTTATAGCTGCGATTTGGATGATGAAAACTGCGCGTAGCGCTTTACTTGACGAATGGGGCTTTTGATTCTTTTTCTTTTATGCGAAGTAAAATTGAAGCGATCAAAATTAATAATGAAATGATAAAAGCTGTGAAGAATATGGAAAGGTCCGTTTGAAACAGAAAATAACCATAAATTAATTAATTATTGCATTAAAATTTTTATTTTAACCTAATTTTTTTACTTTTAAATCTTTAAATTTACCCTTATATCTCAATGAATCTTAAAATTATTTTTTTATTGATTTAAGGTTAATTTTACAATAAAAAGATAAAACATATATATATATATATATATATATATATATATCATTATTATTTACTTAATATTTTTTTTTAAATATCATATTATATCTTTTTTTAATAGAAATTATTATTGTCAAACCGTAATAAAAATAAACATCAAAGTAATCATAAACCCTAATTTTAATATTTATTGAAAGTACTTTAAATTATAGAATTAAAATAAAGAGAGAATATTTGTTTTTTTTTTTTTTTTTTGAGATTTAAATGGGAGAATAAAAAATATTTATCCGTGTAATTTTTTAATATAAAATATGTCAGAATTGTAACCTTCGACCTTAAGGTAAGAATGTGTTTGTACTCACTTTAATAAATGCTCGGAACATTATTTATTTTTTTATTAAATATTTGTTAAATTCTTTTTTTTTCTTTTAAATTTAATAAATAATGCGGTGTAAAATTAATTATTTAAAAATAATAATAAGTGTCTTATCATATTTTAAATAATTTGAGATAGGGTGGAGGATGAGATTGGCATATCTACCAGAAATATTGTTTGTTTAATATTTTAATTTAGTTAAATAAATGATAAATTATTTTATAAAAAAAATATTAAATTAACTATAATGAAAAAAAGGATGGGTCCCTTGTTGCCATATAGAACACATTTACCGTTTACGTGACAATAAAAATAAAATTTATTCGAATTGGTAAAATTAGGCTAAGCGTTTATCACACGAATTTAAAGCTCGAGTTAGTAAAAAACGATTACATTTTTCGTTGATTTTTTATAGGTTAAGGATGAAAGATGGCTGAACCAGAGTTGGATCGAGATTGCTCTAATCTCGAGAACATTGAGCGAGACTTTTCAATGTGGGGCCCACCATAGTCTCAAGCTCTGGCTCGATTTTTTTTATTCTCTCTTCATTTGGTGGTCGAAGTATTTTTGTTTTGCTTTTTTGTATGTTCTAATATATTTAGGGCATTTTTGCTTTATTCGACCTTTTTTTTTTTTTTTTTTTTTTTTTTTTCATCTTGTTATCATATTTTTTTTAAACTTNACCTAGGTATATATTGTCAACTTTATTAAATTTAATAATTGATTTAGATACGTGTTATAATTATTACCTACGTTTAATTTCTCTAATTTACCCAAAAAAAAAATAAGGGACCAAATTTACAAAATTCACAAATTTCAATGAAATGGCGATAGACACATAAAGTTCAATATATATTTGATGTGACCATCAAATATTCTTTCTAGTTCAACGACGTGTGTGGGTGATCGTTGAACCCGATTTTGTAATTACTATTTAGTTATGCTTACGTTAATGGACCGTCATAGAATTTGAACTCATATAAGTTCACTAATTTTACCGATCGTAAACTCGTAAGTTAAAAAATATGTCAATATGAGCATAGTTCAACTGGTTAAAACGTATACTCGCTTGATCGATAGGTCAAATGTTCGAATTCTCCTATCTAATATGGTGTGAATTTAAATATATATATATATATATAAAACAACGTGTAGCCGATCTTGTGGCGTGGTTGATGGCAGAGATGGAGTTGGGGGACGAAAAATATAATCTCCGTTTAACTACGAGAGAAACCTCTCTACCTCCTCCTCTATTCACAATTTCATTTGAGACAGGTTTACAAGATTAAATTATATTTTAAAATATCAACCAAATGAAACATAAATGAACGGAAAATTCAAATACTAAAAATCAAAATTATAGACCAAACCAAAAAATATATACAAATTGAAAGACTTATTTAAACCAAGACTTTTGGTCTCATTGAATCCGTGTCTACCTAAATGCTTGAAGATGACATGTTTCCTATAATTATTAATTTAAAAAATACTGACATTTTATAATAGCGGTCTTAGCCTAAATTAATTTTTCAACAAATTTAAATAACGCTTCTAACTCGTAAAATTACCATAACGTCCTTGAAAGATTACAGGTTCAAATTTTCACTTTTATCATCATCGAATTTCGAGACAATAATTGATGTATTTTTTTTTAATTATTAAAAGTGACCAGGCTAAAATATAATATTTAAAAAGTTGAGGGACTTAAAAAAGAAACCAAAGGGTAAAAATAAGAATATTGAGACAAAAGTTTAAGAAGCTCTTTTGGAAGTGTTACAAAGTTCACAAAAATTTAAATTTGAATACATTTGAATTGATAATATATATATATATATATATATATATATATATATATATATATATATATAAAATAATAATATAAATTAAAAAATTTGAATTTGAATAAGTTTGAATTCATAAATAATATATATATCAAATAATAATACTAATAATAATAATAATAATAATAATATAAATTAAAAAATTTTAATTTGAATAAGTTTGAATTGATAAATAATATATATATTAAATAATAATAATAATATAAATTAAAAATTTTAAATTTGAATAAGTTTGAATTGATAAATAATAATAATAATAATAATTCAAAATTTTAAATTTGAATGAGTTTGAATTGATAAATAATATATATATCTTAAATAATAATAATAATATAAATTCAAAAAAGAAATTGGCCAAAATTTTCAAGCCAGATCCCGCGGAGCAAACAATCGCTGATAATAAAAGGCGGAACAAAAATTAAAACCTCCATTCGACTCTTCCACTGCCACCCGTCGCATTCTGGCATTTATCTCTTCTCCATTTCCTTGATTTTTGGGATCTGAAAAATCGCCATGAATCGCCACAACGATCCCAATCCATTCGATGAAGAAGAGGTCAATCCATTCTCGGTAAGTTTCTATTTCTGTCGTGGCTAAATCTCAGCTCATATAGATCTATGTGCACTGTTTCTCGTTTTTGTTTCATGTTTTACGCGATTTTTATTCGGCTAATGTCGAGATCGGGCGGGTTTTCTATTTTTGAGGTTTGGGAGGGGGTGGAGGGTGAGGGATGGTTGTTGGATTGTTCTTTTATCTGGATCTGAGGGAGATCTTTCTAAATTTGGAGGAATATTGTTAGTTTATGGCTGCGGAGAAATATCGTGGAGGAATTGTAGGAGTTGTGTGGAACAGGTGAAGAATTGAGTAGAAATTCGTGTTTGAAATTTGAATAATACTAAAAAGTAGACATACGGAACTAGTAGTTGTGTTGGAATACGGATGGAGGCGATTTCATTATCTAGGATTGGAAACGAACGTCATTACAATCTGATTTTCGTGTTTGTGTGGGATTGTTCGTTGAATATAAATTAACTGAAAGCAACGTTCTGTTGATTATCGAAAATACTCTACTGATTGACGTACTTTTTACTCACCTGTAACATCTGATATCTGTAAAATGAAGCAAGCTGATTCTTAGGAGGATTGAAATGATAATAATATCGTCTGTTGTGACTGGTTTCAATATTTGCAGAAAGGCGGACCTGCTCCTGGATCAAAGTTTCGAATCCCACAAGTGGTGTCGGAAACTCTGGGCTTTGGCCAGAAGCATGATGCTACTGTGGACATACCACTGGATAGGATGAATGTAATTGATATCGTATTCTGTTTTTTCTTGCTTAGAGTCTTTTTGTCTGGAAGAAGCTTGTAAATGTAATGTTGCATTTGGTTTGTGTAGGATCCGAAGACGAAGGAGCGAGAGCTTGCTGCTTGGGAAGCAGAACTTAGTAGGAAAGAAAAGGTTGTTCTATGATATACATAATTTTGTGTTTGCGTGACAATGGTGTACTACAGCTTGGTCCATAACTTGACAATATATCAATACATTTTTCGTAATTGTTCACCTACCTATTTCTTTATGCAAGTTGATTTTGTTTTCTTTGATTTTCATCCGCACACTAAATTTATTCCACAGCTATTTCTTATTTGATATATATATTTTTATCAGCCGCCCAATAAAAAGACTACAACAAAATATGATATTTTGTTATTGTGTAGTGGTTACCTAACTGTTGTCATGCTTATTTTTTTTACCAGGAAATCAAAAAGAGGGAAGAAGCTGTTTCTAAAGGTGATTAAAAAATGCTACAAGCAATGACATTGAATATTGTTTACTTTTGTTTTTATGAAGCTATTGGGTCTATAACTTTTTGTATGTTGAACAGCTGGTGTCCCTGCTGATGATAGAAACTGGCCTCCATTTTTTCCCATTATTCATCATGATATAGCTAATGAAATACCAGTACATGCTCAGAAGTTACAGTACTTGGCCTTTGCTAGCTGGCTAGGTATGCAAAGTTAATTATCTCAATTCATCATCACATCTCATCTTATTGATTATTTTTTGTAATAATGGAAGGAAAATAGTCTCTTTTTTTTTTTTAATGGGGTTTTTTAATTATTATTTATTTATGCATTGTATTTGAGATGGTAATTGCCATAAATGCCCTTTATAAGCTGTGTTAACCGTATCATCATTTGGTCAATTTCCTTATCATTACCAAATCTAGCCACCTATTTGAGATGGTAATGTATGTTGACTATAGAGACTCATTTCCATGCTTTAGTGTTAGCCTTGTCTTCAATGACTTCCGTGTCATGCCACACTTTATATTTTGCAGGCCACTCCCAATCTAACGCACTTTCATGCAACTAAGTGGTGTACATTTTTTTTAACAGCCCAATATGTTTTCCTTGTTACTTTCAAAACTGCTCTTTTCAGGTTTTCTTTTCCCATCCCAGCTTGTTATCATGGGCAAAATACCCCCCCCCCCCCCCCCCCCCC